TTTTGGGTGTACTATTCCTTTAAGAAAGAAAAACCAATCTTAAACAGAGGGGGGGGGGACTGAGATTCCAGCTTTAGAGCGATAGAGTAGATTCCTTCCTTTAAACTAACGCAGTTTAGAGGTAAAACCGTAACACTGATGTGTCAGCTAAGGATCATGCCTGCTGCTGTTCCTGACGCTCTCTAAATGTGAGGCGGTTCCTGCAGGCGCCAATAGAACTGATTCCCTCACCTTTAGAGCAGACCGCTCTGGTCTTGCTGCCGTCCGCCAAGTTCTCCACTGCCCGATCGTCTGCAGCCTGAGCGGATTTTCCACCCAGCTGGGTTGCCGGGTGCGGCGCTGGGCAGGTCTGGGTTCTGTCCACGGCGTCCGTGGATGGGCTCTGAGACACGGGCTGCTGAGGAGGACTGCGGTCCCCGGCTGATGGCCCGGCAGAAGGCGGCGTCGCCATGGGTGAAGGCGCTCGCGGTTTGAGGGAGAGGAGTTTCCGAACAGGACGGCTGGGAGGTGAAGCAGCGGACGGTGAGGAAGACTCGGCTGATGTTAGACAGATCTTAGCGGGAAGCTTCCTCTTAAGCGTGCCGCCTGCAGGCGGGTTCTCAGATGAATCGGCTTCTGCCGCGCTTTTCCCCTGAACTTCCATTTCCTGTTTCCGAAGCCGCTTCTCCTGCATGATCTCCTCAAAGGTCTTCACCTTGATGGTCTAAACAGACAAAGTTTCATCAGCCACCATTAGGAGAGCAGCAACCAGTGGGGGCAGGGCTTCAGAAAGGATAAGGCGGTTCATACCTCGGCTGGAGCTGCGGCGGTTTTCCGTGGCGTCTCCGACGTGTCCGGAGTCGTCTCAGGAGTCCCGCCGCTCGCTGTGACACACAGGTTAAAAACACGACCAGCGTTACCATCAGGTCACTACATTTAACGCCACATTCCAGCTCTGTGTTCCTTACGTTGGCTCGGCGGTTTCTTCATTCGCAGCAGCTGGCGCCTCTTGGGAGCGCTGCGCTCCGCGTCGGCGCTCTGCTTGGCTTCGGCCTGCTGAGCCTGGACTCTGGCGGCCTTCTCCCTGCGGATCTCCTCGAGGGTTTTTACCCGAACCTTCTCCACATCTGGAGCTCCTTCAGGACTCTTGCCTGCAGGTTTCTCCACCGACTGCTCCTCCTTCGAGTCGGGGTTCTGATTCTGTTGCTCTTCCTGTTTTCTTTTCTTTGCTCGGACGATCTCAGAGAACGTTTTCACGTGGCTGACTTGGGCGCCTCGTACGGTGACGGAGCGTTTGATCCCCTTCACTAGGTCGGTATTAGGAAGCTCAGCTGCAGCGGCTGAAGGAGCATCATTCTGGCCCGAAGATTTGGCCGCCTTATCTTGTCTGATCTCCTCCAGAGTTTTGATGCGGATGAGTTCAGGAGCTTTAGCGGACGCCGCTGTAGCTTCAGCTGGAAACACATGAGGAAGATTCACAACGAGCTACTTGAGGATGAATCAAAGGTGCTTCCACCTGGTGGCAGCTCTTACCTGAGCGAGCGCCTCGAACAGGAGGAACCAAGCCCAGTCGTTCTTTAACAGGCTTTAAGGCTGAAGGAGAAGGAAACAGGTCAGTCCACTGCAGCTGCATGCAGATCCAGGCTCATTTCTAACACGTCTATCATGGTAGCAACGATACTGGGATGGCCAAACCCATGGCCTCACCTTAACAGTCGGTACAGTACGTACACCTTTACCTTTATTATATTTTACTTTGCAGTAAAACTTTAGTCTTAATTTAAATTTGTAATGGTGCTCATGTTGTTCACTGTACTTTTATCCAGTTATTCATATTTTCTGTTTTTGAATTGTCACTAATCTAGGGCCGTTTCTCAATACGTCTACTTGTGCGTCCTCATCAGCCTCAGCCCCAGTACTGTTCCAATTCACAAGAACAAGAAGACTGGGAACAGACAAAGTGCCCAGATATTGTTCTCGATCCTCCCTCTTTACCCAGCATGCATCTGGTGAATCAGCAGCCAGGGCTGAAGGTCTGGTTATCCTCTTGCAGCAGTGTCGCAGTGAGCTTGTTGCAGAAATGTCTGATTTATACTCAATATTGCAGCGTGGTCTGCGCTATGTTATTCCTAGGGGTGTAAATAATAATCGTTTTGTATCGATGCATCGATACGTCCGCAAGAGAATCGATTCATGTTTTTATTTTTATCCATTTGCTCCTGGGTGTAATTCTTCCTTCCATGCTGCGGTGGCGCTAAACCTATTTTGCCCTCCTATCCCGCTTCCTGGTTATGCGTTGCAGTGAGCTTGACACAGACATTTTTTTATTTATGCTCAGTATTGAAGCGTGGTCTGAGCTACACACTGTGGGTCTAGATACTGTCGAGGCGACGAGGAAGTGGGGGCGAGTTTAGTCCGACGACGGAGGGACATGAGGGCCAAAAAGAGCGGAGATCCAGGTGGGAAAAGGGTCCCAGCGTTCTCATGCAGCGGGTCCATCTTCAGTCGTTTTCCACAATGGCGGTCAGACAAACGAAACAAGCCGGTAAGGAACCAAACAGGAAATACGCATAGAGGATGTAGATTTGACCAATCAGGTGCAGCAGAGTGTCTGCGGAGGGGCCGGGGCATATCTGCATTTACTGGGATTACGCGGACGACCTGTTTTCTGAGCTTAAATCAGCCTTAAGAGCTGGAATATGAGAAAAATACTCTTATAGGCTGGTGTGGGGGGGTCGGCAACCCGTGGCTCCGGAGCCGCAGGCAGCTCTTAAGCTTCGGGATAGATGAGCAGCTCCATCTCACCGCGGAGCTGAGTCCCACCTACTTTTTAGTCGTACAGTGTGAGCAGTAGATGCGTGCAACGACTGAAAATAATGGCACAGTGTATGCTGGGTTTTAAATTGTAAAGGCAATTAATGGCCCAGCCGTAGTTCCTGATATTGTGGCCGGCTCCAGGGGTTGTAGAAAGGAA